GTCTGGCCAGTTTCCAGCCCGCCCCCCACCCCAAGGTATTCCGGTTAGTTATTGGCTGGATACAGGCCCACCTGTTTTCTGTTGTGATGTTTCTGGCTGTCCCCACCCCCCTCAAGTATCTATTTCACAATGGTAGGTAAGGGAGACCAAGACAGAATGCTCTTTAGAAGCAAAGATGGCGAGACTTTGTCATCCATACTTTGGACATGTTGTTAGGTGGGATCAATCCTTGGAGAAGGACATCAAGCTTGGTAAAGTGGAGAGTCAGTGAAGAAGAGGAAGGCCCCCAGTGAGATGGATTGACAACAGTGGCAGCCATAATGGGTTCAAGCATAACAACGATTGTGGGGATGATGCAGGATCAGAAAGTGTTTTGTTCTGTTGTGCATAGGGTCACAATGAGTTTGAACTGATTGGATGGCTCCTAACAACAATAGTAATACACAGTTAAATCCTGATGTTGCACTTCAGGATAATGCACTGGACCATAAGGTCGGTTTGAACCACAAGGTCGATGGTTCAGACTCACCAGCCGCTACTTAGAAACCCTATGCAGGGTTGCTACAAGTCGGAACCAGCTCAACAGCACTTAGCAACAACAACAAATCTTGATTACCAAAATGTAGACATTTAAGATATATTTATTTTCAGTGAATTCTGACTGATAGATGAGTTTCTTATTAGATAGGTGTCAGAGCACCTAACCTTTCACAGTCTGTTTTCTCATCTACATATGATGATACCCATTCTTCCCACTCTTCAGAGTTGTTATCATATAAGTCATAGGCAGTGGTTAGAAAACCATAAGCTGTTCTGTTGTTGTTATTGTTAAGTGCTATCAAGTCAGTTCTGACTCAGTAACCTTGTATAGGGTTTCTGAAGCTTTAAACAATTACGGGAGCAGAAAGCCTCATCGTTCTCCTTTAGGATGGCTGGTGGACTAGAACCACCAACCTGTAGTTAGCAGCTCATTGCTTGTCCTACAGAGCCATCTTGCTTCCATAAACTGTAGCATCTTATTTGTCTTTTTTCTCTAATACTCTGCATAATGTTCCATTTATTTTCCCTATTCATTGTTAATGTGTTTGACCTTTTAATATTCCAATTGCCACATAATTCTTAAGCTTGTTGTTGATTTTATGTGCTGTCAAGTCACTTCCAACTCATAGCGACCCTGTAAAGGGTTTCTGAGGAGTGGCTAGTGGGTTTGAGCTGCCAACCTTGTGCTAACCCTACAGCACCACACCAGGACTCATAGTAATTTTAAATCTTTTTTATCATGATTTTGGGTGAGCATTGCTGCCAGTAATTTCAAACTAATTTCAACTTTATGGTGATAGTACAGTCACCATGAATTCACTGAGTATTTTCATTTTTCTTGGGGTAATTTAATCTTTTGTTTTTCAGTCTCAGGCTGTCTAATCTTCCTGGCTGGTCCCTAAAGGATGGAAATGCTTTCTTGGAAAAGGTAATGATATCTACCCTCTAGTGGAAACCATGTCTTGTCATTACTGAAGCCACCTTATAGTAAGATGACTGAAGGCCTCATTTCTTTTCATATGTAGTCTTCCTGGAAAATCCCAAGATCCGTCCTAGGGTCATCAGTACGTGGTAATGATTGCTTTTAAGAGCTTTTTTGGAAATCTTGGTGTTCAGATTCAAATCCAATTTGCTCATGTGTACAAATCTAATAAGTACTTCTGCTGCAAATACATTTCATCACCACGGAAATAAAATTGTTACTGTTAGAATGGTGAGGATGGTTTCAAATGTGATGCTTATTAGTTCTGTTCAGATCATTTTGAGGCTGTACTGACTATGACTGGATAATGAGTCTTTGATTTATTCTTATTATTTTGTTGTTATTAACTGCCATCGAGCCAGTTCCAACTCATAGCAACCCTGTATTTGGTTTCCGAGTTGCAGCTGGTGAGTTTGAACAGCCAACCTTGCAGTTCGAACTGGCCTTGAGGTTGAGTGCTTATCCTGGCACCACACCAGGACTTTCAAATACTTAAATACTCAAGCACATGAGTTATCCCAAGGGGTCTTTGAGAACATTCATGAAAAAAATTCCATTTTCTTTTAATTCTATGTATCCACAAACTTTTTTAAATCCTCTCATAGATCCCTGTGTCTATTGTGAGTCAGATCAGGTAAGATATTTGAGCTTTGAGTTCATTAGAAGTCCTGGAAGGTTGACAGGGCTGGTGATGGAAACTGGCTGTCATCATTTGATTGGAACACTCTGGCCATTCTGTGGAGAATAATAGACTGAGGAGCCAGAGGTTTAACTTTTAAAAGCCTCTTGGGAGGTGGAAGAGGCACCCAGTCTTAAATTGGACTAGAGCACCTTCCAGACTATGACCTGTAATTCTTTTCCAGCCTTTTCTTGGTAAGTCTAGAATGGTTTTTGAAAAAAAGAGCACAGTTCTAGTAATTAGGGCTTTATATTATATTTATAATATAAAGTCCTATTATATGACTTTAATCATTGATTGACTAGACATAAAATAAATGACTTAGATTAGTTTTCTGTTTTAATGCTATTACAGTTTTTTTTTGTTTTTGTTTTTATTTTTACATTAGGCTATATCTAGTGTGTGAGATAAAGCCTTAGACCACTAGGGCAGTTTCAACCACAAGATTGGCGGTTAAAATTCACCAGCTGCTCCTTGGAAAACCCTATACAGGGTTGCTATGAGTCGGAACTGACTCGACAACACTTAACATCAACAATCTCCAAAGTAATTCTTTTCTCAGATCGGTACTTAGACAGTTAACTTAGGGACCAAAGCTACAGAAATGTTGAGAATCAATTTTATACTAAAAAAAAAAAGCAGGGCAGAAGAGGGTTAAGAACTGTAAAGCTAAAGCTCATCAAATCCACTTAGTCCTTTAAATCATTCTTTTTCTCATAAATTTCACAATTGGAAAACTAAATAAGGAATTTGAAGATTCTTAAAATGATTCATCTGAATCATTGCCTCGTTCTTGTAATAGATATAGTTAAATAAAGAGGTGTTCTTTTAACTGAATTAATTCCTATAACTGCACCCCAACTTAAAGTATAAGCCAGATGCAATTTAAAACCAGATTTCCCTTGTAACTTACTATAAAATTATGTGACATTCAGGAACTTATGCACCTGATTTCAGCTTAACTCTCCTGCTAGCTATAAATCATTGTTCTCTGAGAAAGGTTCAGAAGCATCCCATTACCAAGTGCATTGTGAGCGAAATGACTTGCATGTGTATGTGGGAGTATTTCATTAGTAGGGAGTGATGAATAAAATACAGTGACATTGTAAGTGTTTGGAATGGCAAATATGTTTCTCCAAGCCAGGAAGGATGAGAGTCAAAAGAAGAGATTTTATCATAGAAGGTAGACATGCCCTGATGTAGTATTTATTATGGGGAAGAAAATTACATAGCCAATTTAAGACTAGACAAAGCTTTGAAATTTGCCATGATTTGTTTTTAGCCATTTTAAATCTCTGGGAACTGGGAGTTAAAAATTAGTCTGTTATACATAGTTGCTCGTTTAATTTTAGTTTATATGTACATTGTAATTGAGTACTGTTTTCAATCGGGTGAGATAGTTGAGCTTAGCGTTCATGAGAGGTCGTGGAAGGCTGGTTCAGTACTCATGTAAGGAGAGGAACCAGAGTTGACAGGAAATACTCTAGCAGTGCTCTGATTATGAAGCTCACAAAGGAATATAAAATTCAAAAGGAAAATAACATTTTGTTTGGATTTTTTTAGGTTTCATGGCATTGGTTGAGACTTCTTGTAAGATACTTTCAAGTCAGTTCCAAGTCATAGCAGCTCTATGTACAACCAATCAAATCACTGCCCAGTCCTCCACCATCCTCACCATCATTCCTGTGTTTGACCTTGTTGCAGAAACTCTATCAGTCCATCTCATTAAGGGCCTTCCTCTCTTCACTGACCCTCTACTTTGCAAAACATGATCTCCCGCTCCAGGGATTGGTACCTCTTGATTACATGCCCAAAGTACATGAGATAAAGTAGCACCATCCTCACTTCTAAAGAGCCTTCTGCATGGGCTTCTTTCCAGGAGAGTCTTGTTCTTGCTGATAGTCCATGGTATATCCAGTATTCTTCAGCAACACTATAATTCAGCAGCATCAATTCTTCCTTGGTCTTCTTTAATCATTGCCCAACTTTTCCATGCATATGAGGCAATTGAAAATGTCATGACTATGATCAGGCACAATTTAGTCCTCACAGTGACATGCTTTTTAACATTTTAAAGAGGTCTTTTACAATAAATGAAATAAATACGTTTTTTGATTTCTTTACTACTGCTTCTGGGCATTGATTGTTGATCCAAGTAAAATGAAATATTTGACGGTTTTAAGTCTTTTCTCTATATTATGATGCTTCTTATTGGACCAGTTGGGAGGATGTTTATATTGTGTACATTGAGTTATAATCCATATTGAAGGATCTTCATCAGTAACTGTTTCAAGTCCTCTTCTCTTTCAGCAAGCAAGGTTGTATTATCTGCATGTCGCAGGTTGTTGCTAAGTCTTTCTTCCTTATGCCATCTCTGATGCCATTTTTTCCTCCAATTCTTCATAAGTTCAATTTATCAGATTATTTGCTTAACATGCAGATTTAATAAGGTTATCATCGAAGCAAGGATAGGACCCTGATACTCCCCTTTCCTGGTTTTAAATTAAGTGGTATTCTCTTATTGTATTTGAATGACTGCCTCGTGGTCTATGCACAGGTTCTGCATGAGCACAATTAAGAATGGAATACCCATTCTTCACAATGTTATCCATAAGTTTTTGTGGTCCACTCACATAGTTGAATGTCAACGTATAGTTAACATCTGGTTTTTAGATGAAGATTGAGAGTGAAGTCATTCAGACTCATATGTAAATATTAGTGTGTGTCTGTGTATGTGTTGGTTGGTTGGTTATGTGCTGTGGAGTCGGTTCCGACTCATAGCGACCCTGTACAGGGTTTCCGAGGCTGTAAATCTTTATGGGAGCAGAAAGCCTCATCTTTCTCCCATGGAACAGCTGGTAGTTTCAAACTGCTGACCTTGTGGTTCGCAGCCTGATTCATAACTACTGTGTGTAAACATATATAAATGTACATTTTAATGACTAATGGAAATAATATTAAACACAGATGTAAATATCTTTCTTTTTCTAAAAAACGCAAAACGCGTTGTCAACCAATTCATATCTTTTACTCATGTCATTAAAGCACAATGGCTCCATAGAATAAGCACTGTACTATGAACCACAAGATTGGCAGCTTGAGCCCACCAGCCCCTCTGAGGGAGAAAGGTGAGGCTTTTTGCTCATGCAAAGATTTAAAGCCTTGGAAACCCTATGCAGGGTCACTATGAGTCAGAACCACCTCAGTGGCACTTAACAATAAATGGTGTCATTGTACTGTCATAGATTGCTTTGGCCGTCATGGTACCAAGTTACTTTGTGTTAGTTGGGAAGGGACAGTTGAGGGAAAACTTGAAGAATGTGATCAGTGTCACTGAATTGTACAGGTAGAAAAGTATGTTTTGCTGTGTATGTTCTCAAGAACAGCAAAATAATTTATTTTTTTTTTGAGATTCTCTGTAAATGAGTTTAAAGTGTCAATGAAAAAATAAAACAACTCTCCTGGCCTTCTGGAGGCGTTGTAGTTGGTGGCCCACTCCTGTCTCTGGGGTTTTCTTATTTCATTGTGCTCTGTCAGAATTCCAGCTGCCAATAACTGTTTCACTTTGCCTGGGAGTTTTCTCCTAAAGCTCCACAAAATATAGGAATTGTTACATAAATACCTCAGATCCTTTTCCCTCTGTAGAAATCTTGATATGGTGCTATAGGATATTCACTGCACTGCTAACCTTAAGGTTGTCGGTTCAAACCTATCAGTCGCTCCTCGGAAACCCTCTACAGACTCACTATGGCTTGACAGCACTTAACAACATAACTTTGAGATGTATAATTTTTTTGTTTTGTTTTGTTTTTGAAGTTGTCCAAAACTTCATTTTACTTGGATCTGCAATCAACACTCATGGAAGCAATAGTCAAGAAATCACTGACCTTTTAGTTTACAGTGTGACACTTAACACATGGTGCCACCAGGGCTTCTTTGTACTCTGATGCTGTTGTTAATTGCTGTCGAGTTGATTCTGACTCATAGTGACCCTGTCTAGGGTTTCCAAGGAGCAGCTGGTAGGTTTGAACCGTTGACCTTTTGGTTTAAGCTGACCTTGTGGTCCAGTGCTTATCCTACAGTGCCACACCAGGACTCCTTAATCTACAACAAGCATGGGTGGGATAGGAAGTTGCACTATGTTGGATTTCTTTTGATTGAATACATTTGGTTTATAGTCCCAAATGAATTATATGTTCTAGATGGGCAAGGAGTCCTGATGGGGTGCTGTGGGATAAGCACTGGACTTTTAGCTGCAAGGTCCGTGGTTCAGACCAACCAGCCACTCTTTAAGAAATCTTATATAGGGTCGTTGTGAGTCAGAACCAGCAACAAAAGGGCAAAGGGTTCTCCTGCTATAGGTGGAGGTAGTGGTGGTGGTGATTTCATTCCCACTGTCCGCTCTTCACCCTCCTCCTTACTTGACCCTTTCTTCCAACTGGTAGGAGGAGAAGGAAGCTAAAAGTAATTTCTGAGGCAATGACTCCTTACCTGATTGCATAACAGAATCACTAGAGATGCTAGTTATAAAAACAGACTCCATGGTTGCGTCCCCAATGTTGCTGATTCCTGAGGCCTTAGATAGGGCCCAGAAACCTTTATTTTAATGACTTGTTGTTACGTGCTGTCTAGTCATATCTGACTCATAGTGACCCTACATATGGTTTATGAGGAGCAGCTGATGGGTTTGAACTGCCAGTCTTTCAGTTAGCAGTCCAGTGCTTACCCTACAGCACCATACCAGAGTCTCCAGATAATTCTGATATTGCTAGAATGTTCTACATAAACATCATTTGGAAACCACTAGAAATGGGTTGTAGGAGCAGCATGTACCCATGTGTGGCTTCCCTGAAGAGGTATCAAGTAATGGCTCTTCTAATCTTGAGTCTGCCAGTGAGTATCCCCAAATAAGAACTGTAACCTCTGGAGCCTAAATGCAACAATTAACTTAAATAACCTTTCTACTTCCCTCTAGCTGTAGCAGTCTGTGATTTCCATGAAAAGTTGGTTCTTTAGATTATAAATCTCTAGTATTGTGTCTATTGGATATCTCTTCCCATTGATATTTTTCCTTTTCATTTCTTTTAGGAGCTAAAGGAGTGCTCAGGTCATGTATTTGTGGATTCTGTGCCTGAATTCTGCTTACCAGAGGTAAGATTTAAGTTAATCTTATTTTAGAAACAAAGCATATCCTGAAATCTCTCCAAATGAAATCTAGAAATAATTTAAAGGTGCTTAGCTTCCAGTTTTCAACGTGAAATAAATCTGTTCTTCTATGCATATAGTTATACAGCTAAAAATGATCATTAGAAACTTTTTTATATTGTTTATAAATAATTTAAGTCATTCCCTTCTTACCACTCCTGACTATAAATCCTTATTAACACTTCCATTGAATATAGTTTTAAGCAAAGTAAGGAAATAGCTCACATTTTTCAGGTTTATAATAATGCCTATGTGCTTGGATTAACCATACTTTTCCCCCTAATCTTGCTTACAATGAGTAATTGAGAGTTGATATTATCCAGTAAAATGTAAAATTTCTTGCTGACTTTGAATATATTAAATATTGTTTGGATTCTGGACTGTAATTATGGATATCTGTCACTAAATATTACTATCACAATGAGACTTGTTGTAATGGTTGTAAGACTTTGCAGCCAGTTTCATAGTTTTAAAGGAAAACGAAGTTAGGTTCCAGTATTTTTTAAAGGAAACCAATCTGTCTGAGCTGACAGGAGTATTTCCCAGAGGGTTTTCAAAAGATAGAGTCAGTGTAAGGAAGCTAGTGGGCTAGTCCAGGGTTCCTGAGGAAATCAATGAGAAGCTGCTGCCCAGTGGATTACAATGTTTATGGAAAATATTTCCACAGTTTTAAAGAAAATTTGGAATGCAGTTTGCCTTACTTTTCATTCTCCCTGTAAACTTTTTGTTCTCTTTTCATAGTACAAGTGGGCTTCAAAAAATTCATGGGAAAAAATCCATTAGCTTTTCATTCCATTTTTCCACGAACTGTTGCATGTCCCCTTGTATGTGCCATGTGCCCTTTTGGGATACCAGAGGGGAAAAAGAGGTAGAAAAAGTGAAGGACTTGGTAACTGAAGGTGGCACTTTGAGATACCGTAATAAGAAGAGTGAAGGTAGAGAGTTATAAAGAATCCTGCACTCTCTCTTTTGAATCTTTTTGTCATCCTCACTTACTATTTTGGAATTGGTGGGACAGTTCCCCGCCTCTCAAAGATTCCTAATCCCATATGCTGTATTAATTTTCAGTTCACCACATATGGCACTGAATACGGCAACCTACAGTTTATGGGCAAAAACATATAATTTTTGAATGTGTATTCTGATGCCTTTCAGACTTGGCTACTACTACTTCTGTATCTACGTTTAGTCTCCGTGATACTGTCAAGTATCTTAGTGTCAGGTTGTTGTCTGCTGTTGGTTCCCTACCCAGAGAACTCCCTTTAGTATTTTTTGTTAGGTTGGTCTGATTTTTATGAATTCTTTTGATTTCTGTTTGTCTGAAAATGACCTAATTTCACTATCATATTTGATGGAAAATTTTTCTGGATATGTGATTCTTAGTTGGCAGTTTGTTTCTTTCAGAGTTTTATATACGTTATTCCATTGTCTTCATGTCTGCCTGGTTTCTGATGAGAAATCTTAATAGTTTTCCTTTGTAGGTAACTTTTTGTTTTTCCTAAATTGCTCTCGGGATGCTTTCCTTGTCTTTGGTTTTGAAAAATTCGATTATAATGTATCTTGATGTTTTTCTTTTGGGATCTGTACTGTTTAGAGTTTGTTCAGCTTCTTGAATGGTTATCTTCTCATCTTTCATGCTCTTAGGGCAAGTTTTCTTATAGGCACTCTTAGACAATATTCTTTAAGGGTTGTTTGTTTCTTTCTCTTTTGGAATTCCTATAAAACAAAAGTTAATCCTCTTGCTAGTGACTCACATAAATCTTTGGCTTACTTTGACTTTTTTTTTTTCTTCTGATTGTTCCTCTGGCAGATGAATATTGAGGGATTTTTCTGAGCTCAGTAATTCAGCTTTCCATTGGTTCAATTCTATTTCTTTGCCCTTTTTGTGCATTATCTATTTCTGAAATCTTAGTGTTGCTCTTCTTTCTGGCTTTCTAATTGTTTTTACATGGTTCTTTTTTTTTTTTTTTTTTTCCAAATTATTTTGTCCATTTGTTATCTGAATTTTTCCTTAGTTTTGCCTGTGTTTTCCTTGATTCCATCTGTAGATTTTTCAGTTTTTCTTTCAATTTATTGAAGTTGCCAAATTGGCATTCTTTTAAAATCCCTATCAGGTAGTTCTAATACCATGGCTGTTGTTTATTTTCTGGCTCTGTATTGTGGTGACTTGCTTGAGGCACTCTATCTTGTTTTTTGCGTAATCTGAAATTGTCTGTTTTCTTTGAAACATTTTGATACTGTATTTGTATTAAATTGATGATCATATATTGGTATATTCTCAGACACTCACCACCTATTTCCTGGTGGATGTGGTAGAGATAGGTAGTGTGAACACACTTAGTTCTCTGTTCACTGTTTGTGTAGCATAGTTCAGGGCAGGTTCACTCACCTCCTTCAGAAGCAGGGATGCTCTGCCAGGAGTCAGACCCCAGGCAGAGCAGAGGCTATGCAAGAGGAGGTGCTGCTAATCACTGGGTTGGCAAGGACGGGGACTGGCCATCTGCCCGACTGCCAGGAGGGCACTGGAATAAGAGAGAATTACACTCCCTTTCCACCAACTTCTAGCCATGCCCTTTGCCTACAGTCCACTGTATCAACAACTCCCAAAAGCCCAAAAAGACTACACCACATCATGCCACAGCACGCCAGCTTACTGTCCGCCCATTTTTCTTTCTCACTGCTCCTGCTCGGCTTCCTCTTCTAGTGGACACTCAGCCCACTTCTCTGTTGTATACTCTAATGCTCAGGGGTTCCAGGGGTATCTGTTTCATTCAGTCTCTCATGCCTTTGTTGCAGAGGGTCGTCTTAGTGTATCTGGTTACTTCACCGTCTTGCCCCAGACTCCGTATCTTTGCTTTTTGATATTTTAAAGATGTCTTTTGCAGGGTTGCCCAGTGCAGTGTCATTTGATTTCTTGACTACAGCTTCCATGAGTGTTGATTATGGATCCAAGTAAAACGAAAATGTTGTGACAACTTTAATCTTTTCTCCATTTATTAAGATACTGCTTTTTTCCCTTATGTTGAGGTATAATTCATACTGAAGGCTGTATAATCTTTGATCTTCATCAGTAAGTACTTCCAAGTCCTGTCTACATTCAGCAAACAAATTGTGTCGTCTGCATAGTGCAGGGTTTTCATGAGTTTTCCTCCTATCCTGATGCTACATTCTTATTTGTATAATCCAGCTTCTCTGATTATTTGCTCAACATTTTAGATTGAATAAGCATGGTGAATGCATGCATCTCTGTTGTACAGTTTTCTTGATTTTAAACCACTCAGTATTCACTTGTGTTCAAACGATTGCCTCCTGGTATATGCTCATATATGTTTCCATCTGTTGTTACCAAATGTCTCATAGTTCTAGACTCTGTGGGATGATTTTTGTATATTAAGGAGAAATGGCAAATACTCTTACTGGGTTTTGTTCTTAAGAGAAAAGAAGTTGATGCATTTAAGTTTTGTCATTGCTTAGACTGCCATGTCCATACTTTCATTCTGGATCTGTCAGTGCTACTGCTTAATTTCTTTATTTGATTAGAAATGGCTTTAGAGAGATAGGTAAAATTGTAGAGCATTGAAGTGTTAGATGGTTGTCATAATGGTAAATAAGATATTGTCTTGGAAGGATGCTTGTCATGGAGTTAAGAGTGGTGTAAATTGTTGTTGTCATTAAGTATTTTACTCACATAGGTTGTCATTGTCCTAACTGTGAGTAGTTTATGACCTCTAATCTCCATGTTGTCCTCAGAAGCATATAATGCTGTGGAAAGTTTATTTTATTAGCTTAATTTATATGTAAAGTCATTCAGGAAATGCCCACATTCAAAATGGCACAGTGCTTTGCTTATGTCACAGAGATCTTTTTTCTTTTTCTATGTGGCGTAAACGTTAGCCTAACGACCTATTCTAACTAAAAATCACTTCTTGATTTTACCTTATGCTTGTCCCTTAGTGTACTGGTACTTAGTGTAATTTCCCAGGTTTAACTCTTCCACAAGGTAAACCTCGGTGATTAATATGATATCGAACCATAGTATCTCACCTTTGCCCACAGAGGATGCTGTTTTTAAAGATGCATCGCCTTAACAAAAGGGCATTCAAGCCTGGTAGGGGCAGAGAAGAGTCCAACAGGATTCTTGACCTCAGAGTGGTTTAGTTATCGAAGGACCAGGTAATACTCTGAGATGTAGTTGTGCAAAATGAAGAATGCCATCAGAGAAATATACAAAAAGTGGTTTCATAGTCCTGAGGAGGAAGTGGTTTCTTTCATCTGTGCAAATCAGGAAGACTTAGTGGAAAAATGATATTTGAATTGATCCTTAAAAGACAGGTTGTTGTTGTTGTTAAGTGATGTTGAGTCAGCGCTGACTCATGCTGACCAATTTTCTGAGGACATATTCATAGCAAGCCTTATTTTTCTCCCATCGAGTAGTTGGTAGGCTCCAACCACTGACATGGTTGGTAGTCCAGTGCTTATTGCTCAGAGCTACCACACTCCCTTAAAAGACAGGTGAGACTTAAATATGTTGGGGAAATAATTCCATTCTCTTAACTCAGCAATAAAAGTTTTCATAAAATTTACCCAACATGAGTAGCATTGTCTTCTTTTCTTTCTTTTTTTTTGTAAATTGAGTGAAGGTTTACAGACAAGACCATCAGCTTTATATATTCAACAAATCACACATCTCAAAGATTACAATCCCCTCTCTGCAATGAGTTTCCTTACTTCTTCCCTGTGGTTTCCATTTACATCTTACATTTCACAAATGAACAAAGCAAAAGGAGGCACACATACAAAACAAAGCATAGATTTTCATTTAAATGTCCCGAGGACACATTTTGCTAGCCAGCCTCCTGAGCACTGTCACTCTTGACTGCTAACCTGTATTTTTTCCTTATCCCATTACCTAAATAATGTGTGGAGTGAGAACGTGGACCTGGGTTAAAATGAGGCTAGAATGTGAGAGTATCGTTTCCTTTCATGACACTGCCCCTGTATACATGTGCGTACATGTGTGTGGATGCACACACTCAAACATGTGTACTCACTCTGTATCCAATGCTAGTAGTCAAAAGTTGTCTCCCACATTTGATATTTGAAGAGCTGGTTTGTGTACTGCTCTCCATGTTTCTCATTAATAGCAGTGGTGCATTACATTCAAGTACATCCTTGTAGCTTATATTGTTCTCTCTCTGCTTCAGCTTACCTAGCTTCATATGCCAAGCAGCAGTTGCTGAGACAGCCTGCCATCATCTACCCTCATGTGTCTGACTCAGAAGAACTATGCCCTAGGAAAACCAGAGTGCTGCTTGTGGACTGGCTGCATTCTCATGGCTCACAATCCTGTCTCGTACTTAATATGTCAGTATTCCAAAGTATCCTAAAATGAGAGAATAAAAGTATTGCAGGAAAGGCATCATTATTCTGTAGTACAAAAACTGCTTCTCTGCATCTGACAACATCATTTTTCAGTCACATCATGTTGATCTATGTGCCCTGAACAGATATGTATCATTCCCTCCCCTTTCTTTTCAGACCGAGTTAATAGATCTGTCTACAGTCGATGTGATCCTCATCTCTAACTATCATTGCATGATGGCACTGCCCTACATCACTGAGCGCACTGGTTTCACAGGAACCGTATATGCTACAGAACCCACAGTTCAGATCGGCAGGTGAGAGTATTTATTCTTGGCCATTAGAATGTAGCTAGAAAGCTCCTTTCATTCATTGGTGGCTATTTAGCAGGATGTTATGCCAAGACTGATCATTTCCAACTGACCCAAAGAATAGGGACAGGCACCTTTCAGGATTAAGAAATGCTGTTGGAATTTCCTACTCTTAGTCTTTTTTTTTTTTTTTTTAACATAAACTGGAGAAGAAATTCCCAGTGATAACTTGCCCGTGCAAATGATTCCAATTAGGGGAGGCCACACCAATGCATAGCAGGGAAAAGGAACCTAGCATATTGAGGAAAAGAGAAATCGCACTGCTTTGCTTGCAGAATGTCTCCTTTTGTGTTATATCAACAGCTACTGTTGATATAAAGTGAAACTCAGGACTCTAAGGAATAAAAGTTGCACGATTTTCTTTGCCTTTGAGAGTTCTTTGCCATCTCTTTCTCAGCTCCTACCAAGCTGTCAGAAATTTGCTGCAAGTAGCTATACCATCATGTAGTGAGAGAAAAATATCACATGAAGAAAATCACCCAAGGAAAAAGAATTGTTTTGAAGTAAATTGACAAGATGAAACAAATATGGAAGTTAGGAATCCTGAGTTTGGGTTCTAGTGTCTCCCACATCTAGCAAGATAGAATTAATAGAAATGAAATAAAATGTTTACTTGTTTTTGTTTCAAGCAACATTACCTGCAGTGCGTACAGAAACATCAGGCTTCTGAGGAAGACCGTTATAGGCAAATAAAATGCATCCATTTCAATGAAAGGATGAACAAAAAACATTAGATTTTAGTCTGAAAATTTTAAAGCATGAAGGTGGACGTTCTTATAAAAGCTCCAATCAGAATGAAAGTGAGCTTGGATCCCAGTTCTTGGAATTTTAGAACAGGCATTGCGCCTTCATGATTGAAGTGTAGGAGCTAATATTAGAAGTAAATAAATAAATGGAAAAAATGAAGTTGTTCAGTATTCAAGTGGTAATAAACTTATGGCCTGCCATATGTGTATGTTGACTATGAGATGATTTAAGTCAATATGGATTATCTATACTAGATTATGAAAGAGAATTCAATATAAAATTCTGTTTCTAGGTTTTGGCCATCCTCTCTCTAGCCATCAAGAATTTATAACAGTTCTCTGTCCCATGTATTTCTCATATCATGTATACCATTGATCCAGCATAATGAGGTGTTTCTTCTGTTTCTACACTGTGGTTCCATAGTTAATTCATCTGGAATCTTCAGAGCCCATCCTTTAGTTAAATGCTTAGAATTAGTCCTAAGAGTATTCTTCCACGTAGAATTTTTCTAATTCCTGAAGCATGTCAAGAACATGTATTTTATCAATTTAAAATACTCATTTAATATTGTCATTTAAAAAGACAGCCACTACTCCTGCTACCACTACCAAAATCAAGTATATCAGTCATTTAACATTTTCTCCTTTTGGATTTTTAGTAACAAAAACAGAAGTCTGTGAGTGTTATACAACAGGCTTTTATGTTTCAGTGTTTAGAGACAAGAAACACACCAGACTTGTTTTAAAGGTGAATTTTAATCATTTAAGTTTGGAATTTTTAACATGGAAATTCAATAAAAAGTCTAGGTTTTTATGTAATTTTGGGTAAAATGAAACAGAGGAAAAAGGAACGTGCAGTCTCCTGAATGAAGCTGTAGAGTATGGTAATTTTCCAATATTTTTATGTGTATTTATCACTTTGGTTTATACTCAGGCTCCTCATGGAAGAGCTGGTGAATTTTATTGAAAGAGTGCCAAAGGCTCAGTCTGCCTCCTTGTGGAAGAATAAGGATATACAACGGTGAGGAATATTCTTCTATCTCTCTGTTAATACAGAGCCATTTGATTTCCAAAGTAGCCTTTTGTTTTCTTATTTCTTATTTACAGAGTTACACTGTTAAAACTAAAGGTTTTCTTTTCCTTATGTCAAGAAAGGCTTACATTTGATTTATGCAGCATACTGGGGATTGGTGTGCTGTTGAGGCAGTTCTGATGCACAGTGACCCTATACACAACAGAACAGAACAATGCTGGATTCTGTACCATCCTCAGAATTGTTACATATTAGTTCATTGCTGCTGCCACTGTGTCATTCCATCTTGTTAGAGGTCTTTTTCCCTTACTTTTTACTTTACCAAGCATGATGCCCTTCTTCAGGGTCCTGATCCCTCCTAATATTATGTCCAAAAATGTGAAAGATGAATTGTCTCCATCTTGGCTTCTAGGAAACATTCTGGCTGTATTTCTTCCAATACAGATTTGGTTGTTCTTCTGGCAGTCCATGATACTTTTAATATTTTTCTCCAACACCAGAATTCAAATGCATCAATTCTTCTGTGGTCTCCCTTATCCAACTTCCACATGCATATTAGGTTATTGAAAATGCCATGGCTTAGGTCAGGCGCACCTTAGTCCTCACACTGACATCTTTACACTTGAATACTTTAGAGGTTTTGTGCAGCAGATTTGCCTAATGCAATACATTGTTTGATTTCTTGACTGCTGCTTCCATGAGTATCCAAGCAAAATGAAGTCTTTGACAACTTCAGTCTTTTCTTTATATATCATGATGTACCAACTCGACGCACTTAACAACAACAACAACAATTTACTGGTCCAGTTTTGAGGATTTTTGTTTTTTTACATTGAGTTGCAATCCATACTGAAGATTGTGGTCTTTGATCTTCATTGGTAAATATTTCAAGTTCTCTTTGCTTCCAGTTAGCATAATTGCATTATCTGCATATTGTAGTTGTAAATGAATCTTCTGCCAATCCTAATGACACATTCTTCTTCAGATAATCCAGTGCTTGGATTATTTGCTCAGCATGCAGATTGAATAAACATGGTGAAAGGATGCAACCATGGCAAACATCTTTCCTGATTTTAAACCATTCAGTCTCCCCTTGTTCTGTTCCAACAAGTACCTCTTGATTCTTTATGAGCACAATTAAGTGTTCTGGAATACCCAGTCTTCACAGTTTTGTTCATAGTTTGTCATAATCCACAAAGTTGAAATCATTTGCATAGTCAGTAAAGCACAAATGCACATCTTCTGTGGTGGAGGACAAGCACTGGACTGCTGACTGCAAGCTTGGCAGTTCAAACCCACTAGCTGTTCCTTGGAAACCCTATACCGGGTTGCTATGCATCAGAACCAACTTAATGGCACTTAACAGCAACACACATCTTTCTGATATTCTCTGCTTTCAGCCAAGATCCATCTGATGTCAGCAATGATATCCCTAGTTCCATTTGGGTTTGCCTTTGAGTTATTCAAAGTTCAATGGAAAATCAGATTATTTAATAGGTAAATTACAATTCCACGTGGCATGTATAATAAGAGGTGTCTGACTAGAGTGCTGCAATCATTCAAAAAATGAATAATTTTCCCTACTGAAGGGAAGCTGAGGTATACATTTATTAGGAAATGATAATTAGGGTTGGTCTTGGAGAAAGGAAAAGATTTTTCCAGGTTTCAAAAGAAAAAAAGAGAAATGGAGAAAAAATGGTCTAGGCACAGCATCATAGGACAAATTTAAGAGCTAAGTTGGAATGAGATAATAAAGACTCTCATATGTGAAATTAGAATTTTATAATTTTTTTAGAGGGAAGCCCTTCATTAAAGGTTTATAAGGAGGAGAATGACAGAGTCATGTTTGTTTTGGAGAAGGTACCTTTGGAAGCAGCTTGTGAGGATGGATGAATGGATTGGTAGGGGGCAGGAAGAATTGCCGAGGGTCCATTTCCAGATCCCAGAGGAGATCACAAAGGCCTGAGCTAAAGCAGTAGCAGCGAGCCTGGGAGGAGTAAATTACAAGAAATTTGTAAGAGTGAATTAAAAAGAATTGGTAACTGTAATGATCAGTATATCTTGATTATATGTCTAATGAATTTCAGACTAAAGAAGGGAAAAAAAAAAGAATGTGGAGCCCTGGTGGAACTGTAGGATAAACACTGACTGCTAACTGAAAGTTCAGCCATTCAAAACCATCTTGCTCCATGGGATACAGATGAAGCTGTCAGCTCTCATAAAGATTTACAGCCTTTGAAACCCTATAGAGGGTCGCTATGAGTTAGACTGGACTCCATGGCAGTGTGTTTGGGGTGTGTATTTATGTGTGTGTGTAAATAGATATATCTGTATGAGCATAGGGAAATATCTGGAAGCATACAGACCAAAATTTTTACCATAGTTATTCCTGTTTGCCATCGTCATTCAGACAGATTGAAGAAGGCACTTTCTCTTCTTCAGGATACATATTAAAATTACTAATTGATGGTAGAAGTGACTGACTTCACGTTCTTTTAGTGTTTGTCCATATTTAAAAATAAATGTACATACATTTAAGTTAAAAAACAATTGGTAAGAATTGTAAAATGAGTCTAGGAAAGAAGTAATTAGAAAGATGAAAGGAGAGTTGAGTATGGTAACAAGGGAATTTAGGATAGTCACTGGTATCAAATGCTGTGGAAGTATCAGGTAAGATAGAGATTAGACCCTTGGCTATGTGAATTAAGGTATCTTTACCAATCCCAGAGATCCATTTCAGTGGAGTGCCAGGACCAGAAACCAGTTTGTAAGAGACAAAGTAGATAGAATTACAGACAGCTTAATTCCACTTCCATGCTTTCTTATTTAAATTGGTAAATTAGAACACTACTCCTTGTTAATATACTGGGGTCTCTATACCCTTAGCAACTTCTGTTTTCACCTCCCAGTCATCCCAGTAGTCCTAGCCTTCAAGTTTTAGCACTGGGAGTCTGGAGTAAAAACACCCTTTGACTTCTCAGTTTGTTTATGGTCCATACACTCCTACCCAAGTCCAAGTTTTTCCAGCTTTCTTGTCACTGACCACTCTTCCCCCACCAGATCAGTGATGAATTAACCATCTTCTTATTGAAACTTTAGAATGTCTCAGACCTTTGGAATCTTCAAGGTTATGTTGATATAGCTAGGAGAACATGGGTGTTTGTTTTGTTTTGCTGTGAACATTTCACAGTTGTGAGGTAAGCATATGCGTCTCCTTATATGCACTCCTTTGAAAATATGTCATTTATTTTGTTTAACTCGTGGCACTCACTGGAAGCCAGGTACTATTCTTAAGTGTCAAGGCTAGCAGTTCAAATCCACCAGCCTTTCCTCAGGAGAGCTATAAGGCTCTCTGCTCCTTCTACAGCCTCAGAAGCCCAATTAAGCAATCCCACTCTAGTTTTGCTGCAAGTCAGAATCGACTCAGTGGCAGTGGGTTTGAGTGGGTTTTTAAATCCTTTAACAGTCCTTTAATGTTCCCATTTTATAGAAGAGAAAAAAGGCATATAAGAAGGTTAAGTAACAAGTCTACACAATTAGTAAGTGACAGGATCTGGATTCAAATCCAGAAGTCCTGGCTAGCCTATATTGGACCCCATCTTGTGCACACACCTTTTCTAGCATGTGCGTGGGCCTCCTGACGTGATGGGAGGAGTGTCTTTATCTGTGTACATTTTCCCCTTTGTTTTGTAGATCTTACTTATATTTCTAAGTTCTTGTTTGGGGATACGGTGTATATCTGACTTCATTCTCTCAGCTATAGTACTTGGTCCCCTCCCCTCTTTATTTGTGTTCTCATTTTCTGCTCTTTTTTCTTGTATCCATTGCTATACCATCTTCCCCTTTTCTCTCTTGGTTCTGTGTCCTAACTGGACTGTACCAACTCCCAGTGCTATGTATCTTGTTTCTTAGAAACCTTAGGACTTTACTTTCTTTCCCCTGTGGAACACGTATGCTTTGACTTCCCCTGCTTCATCTTTTAAATTTATAGCTTTCATAACATTCTGCCACAAATAATTTTGGCACATCAGAAAAGGTGTTCAAAGGTCAGTATTTCCTGACTTCTGTAGACCAAGTCTCAGGAAGTCCCAAGTTCTTATTTTGCCTTTTGGGACCTTGGATAAAGTCCTTGGCAATCTTCCTTTCCCTCCCATTCTTTGTAAAATACAACAAAATAACCAGCTCAAAAAAGAAGTGCCGTCATGTGTTCAGCGGAAGGGTGACTAGCTTGAAAAAGGAGAAGGTTAGGGAAGGTCCCTAAAATGTTATTTCGTACAATGCTTAGGCAATCTTTCTTTAAAAATAAAAAATTGCTAATTAAAACAAAGCCTTAAATTTGCTATGTCACCTCCTGGTGGACAAAAATCAGAAATTGTTGAATGCTAGCTTGGTGTAAAGGTGGTAATTGTTGGTTAAGTGCCTTCGAGTAGGTTCTGACTCATACGACCCTGAAAAGAGTTTCTGAAAGTGGCTGGTGGGTTTCCACCACTGACCTTGCATTTACTAGTCCAGTGCTTATCCTACAGTGCCACACCAGGATCCCAGCTTGGTAAAGAAGCAAGAAAAATTACTTGAAGAATAGAAGACCTGTGGTTCACTAGGGAATGATTTCTATCAGGTTTGACTGTGAGTGTTGGAAACACATATTGTAACAAAAGGAGGGGAGTGGCCAATTTTGCAGTCCAGGAGCAGAGGTCCCTGGAACCATCAAAGGAGAAAAAAGCAAAGTGGAGGACTCTCTGGGGAAGCAGTGACGCCAGGGATGGAGGCAGAGATGATGACGTGGACAGAGGGAACTGGGGACTCTAGTCTCAGGGAGGGAGAGGGTCTGTGTGCTGGCGGCCAGGGGCAGGCGTGCAGGTTGTACCCTTTGGTTGTTTGATGATGCATGCAGGGGATTGTAATCATTGCAATGAAGTGAAATATGATAGGATGAATGTAAAGATAGTGTTCTCCCATGTAAACTAACGCATAATTCACAATAAAAA